CACACATTGTCTCACAAAAATTACTGGCATTTTAAACAGTAAAGAAAAATCTTGTAAAATCGACAACATAATTTGTTCATGTAAAGCTGGACAATCGGGGAAACTTTTTTTGCCAATTCTTAACCATTGAATCCACTCTTTGTCAATTACACTTACGGGTTTCTCCAAACATCTCTAAACCCGATATATAATAAAGCTACACACCAACCAAATGCTGAAAATCTATCGGGCTAGTATAAGGCTAATTATTAAATGAAATTACGTAATCAATTTGGCAAATTGATTACGTAATTTCATTTAATAATTAGCCTTATACTAGCCCGATAGATTTTCAGCATTTGGTTGGTGTGTAGCTTTATTATATATCGGGTTTAGAGATGTTTGGAGAAACCCGTAAGTGTAATTGACAAAGAGTGGATTCAATGGTTAAGAATTGGCAAAAAAAGTTTCCCCGATTGTCCAGCTTTACATGAACAAATTATGTTGTCGATTTTACAAGATTTTTCTTTACTGTTTAAAATGCCAGTAATTTTTGTGAAACAATGTGTGCATTTACATGCATTTTGACATTTTATTTGTGATTAAATGAAATAAAATTAAATTGTATTAATAAATCTAATTTTCTTTATTTTGATCTCTAAAGTCACACCTCGTCCTATATGCGAGATTGTCTTTTAGACAAGTAAATACGGTAACTCTGCATAAAAATTTGGAGGTGATAAGTTGGGATTTCTTGGAAACTAATCACCAGTCAAAATAATTTTTTCACCAAAAAATTTGGAAAAGAAAGCTATTGTCTTCACATTTGTGTGTTAGTTTGTCCTATCTAGTTGAAACCATCAAAATTTTTTCAGTGGTTCAAACATGCTAATGAATTGAGTGATAATGTTCTAGGAAGTTGCACTGTTTACGGTACTGGCCCATTATTCTTCTCTAAGAAATTCACACCCTGCCCTAATTGTTTTTTGACTATGGTTTTTTTTTCCTCAAAATGTTTACAGGTTTTCAGCAGACCAAGATGCTTGAGTAATGAAATATCCTGACAAAGGAAATCATATCTTATTCAATTTACCAAGTTCATCTTTAGTTAATTTATCAACCCAATTAGGAAAATGCAGTTTTTTCACAATTGGAGGATTTCAGTTCTTGTAAGGATATGTACATAGTATAGAGACATGCAACTTAGGAGATGTTTTAACTATGATTGTTAGTTTATGAACAAATAAATTAGATTTTTGCCAAATTTTTTGTGAATTTCTGACACTTTTTTAGTATATCAAAACTGTGCATTTTCTGTTACACTGTTGCTGTAACAGAAAACCCATTGCATCTTCATATTAAAACTTGTCTACTGGATACTTTATTAAATTTTTGTTGATTAGTTGCAAAGAAGGAAACTGTTTCATATTCTCAAACAGTCCTGTATGAACAAAAAGAGAAATAGTAAATAATAATGAAAATTCATTGCTTTGGAAAAAGCATCATATCAGACTTTGTTACAATAATAGTGAATGACAAATAACAATTGCAAACAAAAACTAGACAACTATGATAGCATGCTGTGATTGAAGGTCACATACTTTCTATGCAGTGGTTGCATCACCTGTTTGCATTGCTCAGCAATGCATGCACATAAACTGCATTGCATTTTATTTGAAACTTCTATACTTAATATTCAGTATTGACACAAAAACAGTTAATTTATTTATTATGTAATATAGAATATAAATTCAGTATAATCAAATATTCAAACCAAATTTTAATTTTCATTAAAAAAAATAACAATATTATTTTTCAGATTTAGTTATGATAGATTTGAATTTTTAAGTATTTAATGGGTTAGAGAGTTTTCTGAAATGAAACATAGAATAATTCAAAGCATTTAAATATTTTAGAAATATTTTTGCATTACAGATTTATTTCATAACTAATTATTTCAAAGTTGTAAAATACAGTTTTATTATAAACATTTTGAAGGAATTATTATCATATTATATAGACTTTAAAGCTGTGGTTCCGAATAATTTTATACATGTTTAATTTATAGAACAACCTTATAAGAATCTATATTACTGCAAACAGCTTGTGGTCCATGGCAAGACAAAAATTTTGATAAATGGTCCCTCATCACTAAAAGGTTAAGAACCACTGCTTTAAAGCAACAGTGAAAGGAATTCTGATCTCTAATGAACATACTTCCAAATGTACATATGAAAACCAAAATATTGCTTTTATCAAAAAACATTGGCACCAATACAAAATTGTATATAATGAAAATTCTTGACACTACTATTACAGCTTTTGACATTGAAATGATTACTTGACATTCCTGATATCAGGACTTACCATAGCCAAATAATTATGAATGTAAAATGTAGTCTTTGAAGGTTTTGTACTGTATTGCGTTTCATGTACTGTACATCTGAGATAAAATGATAATAATTTGAAAATGATTGATCTACTCATGCTTGATGGCAGTTTCTGTACTTGTAAGGTGTACAGGTATGTTTTAGGAGATTACCTTAAACACACATTTTAGACACACTTTTGTTAAAATTTGTTACGTTTTCACACTAAATGTTATCCAAATGATGAGTTTTAATATTCATAGATTTTTTTAAACCTTGTGTTTATGTAAAATGATCTCTGGAGTAAAATTCAATCCCTATTTTCATAATCATTTTCAGAACTTTAGTAGACCTACTTAGACCTTAAGTATCTTTTGTCAGTGCAAGGCAAATCTAGTTTATCTTGATATACAGTAGAGCGTTGTTTATCCGAATCAATTGGGGACTGGGGTTGTTCAGATAACTTATTTTTTGGATAACTGATTTGGTGCCTACTGTATATATATAAAGTTACTGGTGATGACACACCTAACATAACATCATATGCTTTTTACCAGTTAGATAGAAGTCTCTCTCTACCCATTAGTGCCACCCTTTGAAGCTGTGATGTTGCCCAACATGTTATTACTTGAACAAGATTTCACTTCCCAATAGATATTACACATGTATGAAGCACTCAATTTTATTATTCAGAACAACTACAACTGCTATGAAAAGTGTTTATTCAACAAATGGGGGTATCTAATGGCTTACTATTATCAGCTGTACTTGTGGAACTTAATTGTGCGAAGTATAGAAAGAAAGGTGTTTAAAACTCTCTCATCACACATTACTAAATTTTATACTTGCAATACAAAGATGAAGCAATAATTGTTTGGGATGGATCCTATGAGGAATACAATCCCAAGACATAAGTATTTTACTACCAGAATTGAAATGTAACACACAACTTTTTAACTCCAAAGACACTAAGTGAGAGCAAGTAGAAATGAATATAAATACACAATGATCCACTAACATCTATAGAGATTTATTCAATATTTTTATGCATTGCTTGTTACATGTTTCATTACAAAAGAAAAAGCAAAAACAAATCAAAGACAAAATTATTAGACTATCTATAAATATATTTAAGCCTGATAGTTATAGTAAAGCCAAATGATTGCTGGATTAAATAATTAAATACCGAATAATTTGGCCTAGAGTTTGGTGTTAAGTGCTGTCTCTTATTAGATTTAATAATTATAATTAAATAGTAGGCTATGAAACTTTATGCCAGAATGTATCAGATGCTGATTGGTCAACTTTTGACACAGCCTTGTTTCTGTCAGTATCAAATATTCGATTATCTGATATCATGACTATGCTAGAAAATTTCCAAGATGGTGCTCATTCAACTCAATTGATACACATTGGCATAATTACATAATTTCTAACATTTGCTAATCAAATATTAGATATTCAATATCAATTAGTCATTTTATGCCAGTATGTATCAAACAGGGCCGGGGAAATGCCCATTTTAGTGGGATCCCCATGCATACTGGAATAATTACAGTATTGAGATAGGCGATATCAAATATTGAGTTGGTGAATATTAAAAATTGTGTAATTATGTCAGAGTGTATTAATTGTATACTACTAATGTCAATGCACTAAATAAACTTAACTGATTGAAAATAATCAAGATATAGTATTGTCATGATAGCATTAATATCACAGTATTATGAATATGAATTGCTACATTGTTGGTTCTTATGGATATTGACTCCTTAAGTATGGCTTTCAAAGCATGTCTACTGGCTGCCAAACAGTCCTTTAAAAAACACAAAAATATCCAGTTAAAAATATAAACATTTTTAAAAAACAGGAACTGGTGATGTTCGGACGTCTTCTATTTCCCATCATACCTTGCTGGGGTTGTTTCGGCTTTTATCTACAACGAAATAAGCGCTGATAAAATGTAGATGAGGAAAACTGGCCCCTGGTGATGATACTTTAAAATTCTTTTTGTAAAATTTATCTATATCGGACAAAAATTTACAAAAAGAATTTTAAAGTATCGTCACCAGGGGCCAGTTTTTCTCATCTACATTTTACCAGTGCTTATTTTGTTGTAGATAAAAGCCGAAACAACCCCAGCAAGGTATGATGGGAAATAGAAGACGTCTGAACATCACCAGTTCCTGGTTTTTAAAAATGTTTATATTTTTAACTGGATATTTTTGTGTTTTTTAAAGGACTGTTTGGCAGCCAGTAGCCTAAAAGAAAAGGTCAGTTGCCAAAAGTGTAATGTCTGGAACACAAAGTTAATAAATGGTGGTTCCTATTTTTTGGAAAGGACTTTGTCTTCAAAAGAATTAATTTTTAAAGATTTTATATTTGAATCAGTCGTTTGTTCTGTTTTAATATGTTAGAATACTGTGTGTTTGTTCTGTGATTTTGATCTGCTGATGAGATGTAAATTTCAAGAAATCTCAAGAAACATTTAATCATAATAGATGATGATTTCTTGAACTTTATTAGCAGTGTTGTTTCTTAAGATTAAATGTTAATGATGGAATTGTTAGTATTAAATGAATAAGCTGATTATTCTTTATTTTGTTCTATTTAAATATGTTAAAAATACTAATTTATTAAATTATTTTTCAGCCTCCAAAATGGTATCCATTGTTAAATTCTAAATATCAAAGGCAAAGGCCAGAAATACTTATTTCACTTCACTTAGAAAAAAATGAACAAAAACAGCCAGAAGAACAATCAACAAGTAATATAGTAAAAAAGGAACCACATGTGAAGTGCAGTACGCAAACTGAAATATCAACAAAAGCAGCAAGTGCTTCTGATAGACAACAATCCTGTTTGGAATTGAAACCACAATTAAATATAGAAAATGGTGTATATTATATAGGTGACACCAATCCGGAGAAAACTGAAAAATTCATATTTTCAGTGACAATAGCATTTGCAACAAACCTCCTTCAGGCAAGAAATATTTTTAATATAATTATATATTATAAAATAAGATTTGCACATAAAATGTATTTCATATTGTGCATTAAGTAAGTCTAAAATATAAAACAGATACTTAATAAAACATTTAACATAAAATGTTTTATTAAGTATGTTAAATGTTTTATTAAGTGTTTTAAAAGAAGCTGAGTTTGATATTTAATTATAAAACAGATATACAAACTTTCTATATTCAAAATATATATGAAAATATATAACTGTAAAACAACTTTATTCAAAACTAGCAGACCCTGCCACGCGTTGTTGTGGCTCAAAATGTACCTATTATAAATATATAACACTTCCCTCGTGGGGGGAATTTTTGAAAAATCCCTTCTTAGTGTACATTCTCTTGATGTACCCTATTAAAATGCATTTAAAAACGCAAAACACCGCATCTAAAATAGCAGAGTTCTTTACGGTAAGCCTTAATCCTGTCCATCTCTCCCCAGTGGGGGGAATTTCAACATGTATATTATATAAAAACACGTGCGTATTCGAATGCAGTAATGTGTCAAAATTTCAAAGGAATCGGTAGGAACAAACGAACATTACATTTTTATTTATGTAGATAGATAGATGATGATCTGCTTTAGTTCATCCTCACAGAAAAGCAAACTTAGGTTGTTGTACTCGTAGCGCCATCTGTTGGACATAAAAGCCTTAACCCTAGATGATATCTTTTAATTTATATGAATGTTTAACGGAATAGTATACAGCTTATGTCCATCATGAAGTTCCGTTCTAAATATTGGTGAAAGAATTTTTGAAATTGGATTAGTAGTTTCAGAGATTACCTCCTACATACAAACTTACAAACATTATCTCTTTATAATATTAGTATATATTTTCTTTTTCAGTCTGCTTGGTTAAGAAGAAAAATTTTAGAAATTATATATATAAAAACAAGTTGGTGGCATGGAAGTAGTGTTACTGATTTAGTGTTCAGTTTTTAACTAATTTTTAAAGTTATATTTAAAAAAACAATTTTTCTTGCTCTCATTTAAAATAACTTTACAGTATTACAAGGATTTCTATCTTCAATTGAATTTGTTTTCTAATGTGTTTCAATTTAACTGCATATTCCTGCTGCAAAATGTTTCTCATATAACCTTTATATCATGTAAAATGATAAAATGATTTCTTCTCAAGTGCAAATAGAAAAATCATACTTTAACTAATGAAAAATGGACAATTATGTAGAAATTAACACTGGAAGTAAACATTTTAAACTCATCAAACTATTTGTTGGCACCTTTAATTGTTGTAATTATAATTATTTTCTAATTTTACAACTGAATTTATAATTACACTTATAAAAAAATACATATAAAATTACACTGAAACATTAAACATATAGATTAAAGAATATCTTCATTATACAAAATATAGATGGATGTTCTGTTCCATTGGACAGGGGAAATGGTAGATGACCAGCTGAGAGAAGATTGCATTATAGCTTGGCCAGCTAAATGACCAGTTACTGTTATATAGAACATGTTTATTGTCTATTACATTATTATATTTAGCATTTAATTGGTGTACTGTGCCAGTGGAAAATTTAACTAATTTAACTTGTGCATTTAAATTATTTAAAGATATTAGTAAATGTATGTAATTTTTTTTCATATGAATATAATAATAATTTGATTTTTGGTAAATTTTTAAAATAATATCGACTGGCTGACCTGTGTTGCTTTTGTACAGTTTACAAAATTAACATAAACAAGATGACAGTGGTAAAGGGTTAATTTAGACATAATGATAAATGTAATATTTCACCATTGAAAGGAATAGAATATTTTAGAACCAAAATAAAACATTATGTTAATGTCAAACATGTAAGGTAAACGCACCGGTAGTGGACACTGCGTTAGTAGTGGACACTTTGAACTTCAAATATGAGTAATAAGGTTGTAGACGGCTTCACTGTTCAAACATACAAATCATTCAGTAGACAGAACCCTCTAGTGGTGGTAACTCGCACTGATCCTTTTCTAGTGTGTCATGGGATGTTTTCCTACGCTCATTAGTGATGGCATTCCTGCTGATATAAGAAGACAAGTGAGTCTGCTGTCTGTTTCCTTAAGGTCTAGGTAATTTAAATCACGCTTGCTGTATTAACAGTTAGTTTCACGGAAGTTTTTTGGTGATATACTATTAATATGAGCTTCGTTGGTATGTTTTAAGACCTTCCTGATAGTATTTTTATTTTCCAAGTCAATTGAATGAGATGTCCACTAATGAAACAAAAATATCGTATATTTTTAGTAGTGGACAAGAGGTGGCCACAACTAGTGAAAATGAACTTTTCACTTTTAATCAGTATCAAGTCAAAAATTAAATCACCTAATGTTAAGTAACATACAGTATTGATTCAAGCATTTTTTGGTTACTCTGTCTAGTCATGGACAGGGGGTGTTCACTATTAAACCGTGAATGTCCGTTTATTGAAATGAGGTGTTTCAATAGTGGACAAAACATGGTTTGGTGCCATGGGATCCTACAGCACCCGGTATGCTAAGTAGGAAAATAATGTGCAAGAAGAAGTCAGACAGTACTCTCACGAAAAGTGATGTAAGAGTTGGTTTTGAAACATTAAAAATATACATGGGACCTGAGAAAGTGGGGTTATTTGAGACTGTAGTTTCTTTTGAAGATGTTGAGGCTACAGACAAGTCCCTGTTCAATTTATGGCACCAGATGAAGACAGACATCATGAATCAAGTAACAGCTGGAAACAACAGCAAATCCTTCAACAATAATGAATCAGAACATGAAGATTCGACGGTTGAAACTTCAAATCAATCGCAGCCATGAGATAAATGATGTCAGTAACACCAGTGCATTTAGTGATTCATATATTCATGATATTCATAATGACTACCACTATCAAAATGAAAGACCTAGTACTTCAAACACTGGCAATACCATTGTTGCCACAAGTACACACAATAGCCGCAATAACAGTCAGATCTCTGAAACAGTACCTAGTCCTTTCAAAAGGTCACTTCTCTGGTCAGAACCCAGGGAAATCACTAACAAAAGGAAGAAAAAGGAAATCATACCTTCTGTAGTTACGTCAAAAGCTTGGCAGGAATATTATGAAAATAAGGAAAAGAAGAAAATAGTGGAACTAGAACTGAAAAGGGAGAGAGCTTTGGCAAGACAGAGAAAGAAAGAACAACAGACTGCTGAGAATAAAAGGAAAGCTGAAGAGAAAGCTATGAAAATGAAAATGAAGACTACAAAGCAACGAAAGAAGAAAATGAGAAAGGAAGAGACATCATCAGAAGATGAAGGTTCTTGGATTCCCTCGGATGGTGGTAGTACAAACGATGTTACGTTAGATGTAGAAGACACTATGGAAGATGAAGAAGAAGAAGACGACATTATGCAGTTTCAGGAAAATATTGAACCCCCTTCAAACGAAACTATTGGACCAAGTTCAGCAATTAAGGAATCGAAAGATACAGAAGAAAGGGGAGAAAGTATTGAAGGGACTTTAAATTGGACTCGGAGGAAGGATATGTCCGAAAGACACAGTCGGAATACCATTGAAAAGGAAAGGGAATCAAACATCCTGCATGAGAATGATTTTGTAGTTGCCACCTTGTCTGGTAAGAAAAGAAAGTACAAATGTGTGTGCAAAATTACCAGTTTAATCAGTGATAATATCGCAGAAGTGATTGTGTTTAATTCCATAAATAGGATGAAAAGCGTATTTGCTAAAAATGAAAAAGATGTACAAACGATAAATATTTCTCAAATTGACTTGAGGCTTCCTAAGCCTCTAATTTTTGGAAGAGAGAGTCACTGTCAATTCTCGAAAGGCATTGACATAGATAAGTAGTTCAACACAAATTAACAATGCAACAATATTTCCTTAAACTATGCTGACGTTAATATTTGAGTTCTCCTAAATGTAACTTAGAACCCAGTTTTATACTATTATTTTTAAGTGTTTAATATTGAGTGTAACAATAATCCATTCCAGTATGTTAAAACTGATCTCATTTATTTCAACATTTGTATTCGTTAAGAATAATGTAACAATAACAAAATAAGAAAGTTTCTTATACTAACTTTGTAATGTTTTATATTTATGTTTCATAATACTTATTAGTTCAATTTTCATATAAACATTACAAACTATACACATGTAATTTACATTTGTACAATTTGATATTTTAATTAATTTAATTAAATTATGAGTTGTCATTATAATTAACACAGTGTTCTTGTTCTTTATAGTAAAGACTGTCAAATTCTGCAAGTTGTGAAAAATAAAAACGATTTCATCTTGAATATAATCATTTCTATATTCCTTGTCCACTACTGGTGCAAATGCCTGTCCATTACTAAATATCTCAATTTTTTCAATGTCCACTACTGAAACATTTTCAACCTTACAAAATAAATTAAATTAAAATGTATTCGACGAGACTGACATAATTAAAATCCTTACAGTGAGTGAAGAAAGATTTTGTCTAACAGACAATATAACTTTTAAGCCATAAGGTTTCCAAATAGGGGTCCAGTTTCAAAAAAGTCGAAAAATTTTCCTTAAAGTGTCCACTACCGGTGTGTTTACCTTAAATGATACTCCACTGTATTTATATTTGATAGTTAAATTATTTATTAAGATAAATTTAATGGGAAGCATTAATTTCCAAAAATAAAAATTAAAAATTAACTTTCTTATAGCAATTTAAACTATAATGTGTTTACTAACATCAAACCTTTCTCACACTTTCAGCAATGAATATTTGTGATGATAAATATTCATTGTCGGAAGAATGAGGTGTGGTGTTAGTGACTACTTCCAGCCTCTGTAAAGTGATACTATATTCTATATTAGAAGAAATATGTATATACGTTTATAAAACCATTTTAATTTGAAAAAATTAATTACTTAATTATGTATATTATCTTACATAAGAATTTTTTTTTCTGTTAAACTATTTTTTAAAAAGTTAAATGTAATAATCGTTAGTTTTATTTATTTTAGTTAGTGCAGTTATATCCATCAATTTCGAATTCTTCTGGAAATTTTTACTTTTATTACTCATTGTTTGGTAATGATGTAACAACTGAACCATTTGGAAATTTTCAAAATCCTGATTTTCCTGCTGAAAGAGCATCTGTCAAAATTATTAGCAGTGTTGATGTTTTAAAAGACTTCTTCATTCAACAGCCTAAATTACAGGTAAAATATATTTTCTAGAAAAGTGAAATCTTTATGATGTAAATGTTATTTATAATATATACTGCTAAAAACACTAGAGAATGAAATGTATATGTAATTAGATTTATCTTTAATTATAGATATAATATATAAATTGTTTTTTACACGCGCTATGTCGATGATATTCTTATCATTTGGAAATCCAAGCGAGATCTAAATGCTATACTGTAGATAGTGAACAACAACCCATTCGGACTTAAGCTAAAGTTAGACCAGCAAGATGATGAGATGGCCCATTTCCTTGACCTCAATATTTTCCTGAATCTTGGCTGCATAACCACAAACGTTTTCCTTAAGCCTAATCTTCAATCTTTCTTCATCCCTGCAACCTCAAATGACCCATTTACTTATAAAATATCCACTTTTAGGGCTCTAATCTGCAGAGCTTTTACTCATTGCTCTAACATTAAGGACACGCTATGAGAATTCCAACGCATCAAGCACCTCGCCCCAGCCCATGGTTACAACGGTAAATTTATTGATAGGCTTGCACAAAAAATTCATAGATGCTTAACAACCGAAGATGTCAATTCCAAACTTCTAAAGCAACAAGGTAAGTGCATTACCGTCGATTTTGACTCTAGAATGAGCCGAGCTTTTAAATTCACAGCAAAAAGGGTCAATGCTACTCGTATACAAATGCAACCCTATGATTTATAAACTTCTGGCTAATACCAAGGACAAATGCAGCGAAGCCAGGAGACCAGGAGTCTACACGGTTCCACTAAAGAACAGCAGATCCAACCTGTGCAAACAACTAACATACATTGGCTCAACCAATAGATTGCTTAAAAGGAGGAGAGCTGAACACAAATACGACGCATACAACAAAAAGTTCATTTCCACCCTAGCCCAGTTTGCAGGTGAACCTAGTATAATGACTAAATGGAAAGAGGCGAAGATTATTATTCCTATGCATGACTATAGCAAGCTTAGAACAGTTGAAACCATTGAAATATTTACTCATTCCCTCAAAGAGAGTTGTATCAACAGCAGAGATGCAGACTCGCTCTCCTCCGCATGGAAATCACTCTTCGATAACCCCTTAAACTAAATAGACCAACCCACCCTCAGCTCTTACAACCGTTACCACTTTTTACTTGTTGCGTTTATTTTTCCAATTCTGCTTTCCAAGCATAGCACCTTTCCCATCTATGGTCATTTGCACGTCTTTTCTTATTATATCATAAGTTATTTAACGATGTCGACATCGTCTATGCTCCATTATCAACTATGACATCACTTTCCATTAACCCCCAATCATGATAGTGCATCTTCTTTACTTAGCGCGTTTATTTTCTAATTTTATTTCCCAACTTTAGTGATTATCTTATCATGAACTATCCACATACCTTTCATTTTTACCAAAAGAAAGAAAATTTAATGCCCTCAGTATCATCTAAGCCTTATCATCAACGATGATGTCACAAGTAAGACAATACCTATATATACATTGACACCGTTTGAATTTCTACCAACTGACGCTCTAACAGATCACAGTGTACCTGAAGAAGGCCGAAAACGTTCGTTCTCATGTATAAATGGCTAGAAACAAGTGAGAAAGGTTTTGTCTTGGTTATGTTAACAGTAAACATTCAATTCCACTTTTCCAGTTTCCTAATGTTTATATCAGGTGTGTCAAACTCATTTAAACAACAGGCCATTAATGCGACTGGCAAGATTCACATGGGACATTTACAAATTTTCTTAAAATTATAATTTGAAATGAGAATGCATGAATGTAGATAGGGCAATTAAAACATATTATGTAGTTCAGTGAATTTGACTTAACAATATATAATTGCTATAGTATTGCTTTTATTTAAACATTTATTTAATGTATATATTTATAAAACTAATATTAATTATTTTCACCGGAAACTTGCCAGCGCTATCTTCCTCCTCCTAGTTTTCCAATATCTGGATTCAAAGACTGAGAAAAATCTTCATTATGGAAGATAAATGTTTATCAATTAATCTCGATCTGTCAGCCATTTTATGTAATTTCAGAGCATCGTGGCATGCAGGTCACTAAAAATTGCATTGGGCCACCAGTTTGACAACCCTGGTTTATATCATGAGTATATTCACTTTTCATAGGTGATAAAGCAAGTAGACAGTAAACATAAAGTTATAATTTAAGAAACATAGCCAAACAATCATCTTAAATACTCAAGCTACAAATCCACTATTTTTAATAATAAATACTAAGTAATTTGCTACTAGAGGTAGGTGCACAGCAAGTGGAGGTTGTGGGTTCAAGCCCTGCCCTGAACCAATTCTTTTCTTCCAGATAATTCTAAATTATTTAAATTATAATTATTAATTTAGTTAAGAGATGATGCCTAATGTCTACCACTAGTAGCAAATTACTTAGTATTTATTATTAAAAATAGCAGATTTGTAGCTTGAGTATTTAAGGTGATTGTTTGGCTTCGGGTTGTTTAATTTACTTATATAACTTAAGAATAATAAAATCAAAACTATAAAATTATTAATTATTTGAGTTTGTTAAAAATAAATTTAAAGTTTATTTTTAAGACTGCAATTCTAAAACTGAATTTTCAAGGAAGAGAAAAATTTACATTTAAAACAGAAAAAAATTAGGCAAAATATATAAACCCATGTAATTTACAATTATTTTATGTAAAAATTGCATTGAGTTGAAAAAAGTTCTCATGGAAGAAGTCTAAAGCCAGTGATCTTTTAAATATGAGTAAGGCACACTGCCACTGAACCACAAAGTCTCCAATGAAAGATTTTGCAAAACTTACCTGTAAATTGCTTGGAATTTTTAAAACTGATTTTCATTTTCAAGAAAATCAGTTTAATTCATGTTTTTTCCTTTTGCTCAATAAGGTTTGTACCAAGGCTAATCCAAATAAACAATATTATTAAAATCTCCAAGGACCATGTCATAATCTCTCTTTGTTAATTATTTATACATTTTTATGAATATATAATAAGATCTGATAAAAATTTATGTATAAAGAATTATAGAACACTATTATTATTAGTTTTAAATGTAATTAATTTTTTGGAATTTATTTTAAATTAAAAATAAAATTTATATAAATTACTAGATTTAATTAAAAGATCTATTATTATATAAATTAAATAGGTATTCTTTTGCTGTGCTGATGTTTCTATTGGAATGGCTGATATACCAATTTCTCACATTTTAATGGAAGATGCTACTAGAATTGAAAATCATCCTGTGTCAATAGAGGGGACTTTTGAAGTAAGTTAAATTTCAAATATTTGTTTATATTTATGAAAATCTATATAAATATTAGCAATTATTCATTGTGACATTGTCACAATGCAGAGCTACAATTTTTAATCATATTTTTAATTTATTTAATTTAAAATATATGTATCCACCTCAAATTAATACCATATTGTCTTACCCCTGTACATCATAATTTTCCTTTAACAATAGAGTCATGCCAGTCTTCTATTAACTGCTTTCAGGGGAAAAGTTTTGAATTGAAATAATGTGACTTCTGGTTTTGATTAGAAGTTCGTATATAGTTAATTTCGGCCTTCTGCCACTAATGTTTTTATATCTGGTCTTGATGTTCATCTATCTAACTCCATTCTCAAGATTAAAGAAAGATATAATTAATAACTAAGCAGACACAGTCCTGTTTCCACTCCAATGAAGACACAGTACATTCATTGCTTGTAACATTAGGAAAATTAGAAATTGAAAATTGAAAATCTGGTAATTTTTTCTGCAAAATAGGAATTGAAATTGTTATTCAATGTTTCTGTGATTATTGTGCATTGTCCCAAGTAAAAATTAATGCACTCATATCAATATTAACATTAACAGAGGACCAGACCTAGTTTCTAAATGAGGGTTACTTGTTTTTAATGTATACATTTCTCAGAATAAAATTCACAGACAACAAAAAGTGATTATGAAATCAAACTTTTATAATAGTTATATATACACTTTTTTAAAATATTTTTAAAACTCATTAGTCTCCAAAGTTGCAAATGTTGATTTTCAAAATATTTTCAGACTCTTTTACAAAAATATCACATCACCCAACTCAGCCAATGTTTGTGAAACAAGCTGGTACTATTGTACTTATGAATGTGATTTTACACATAATGTGATGAATGTGTTGTTATGTTATTAGTGCAATGTGCATATCTGACAAGGCAATTACATTGTACATATAGTGTACCAAGAAAGATTGGAAGTGGTTGGAAATTGTGTGTGTGAAATGGTCATTGTAATGTAATTCTGTTTATTCAGACAATTGCTTTTTACAGTAGAGCCTCGATTATCCGACCCCTGATTAACAGACACCTCAGTTAACCGACCGTCCTAGTCGGCAAATTTCAAATGTCCACTAGTGATGTGGCGCTATAATATTTGGCTATGTCTTGGCTACTTTAATATTATTTTTACATGTTTTAGCTGACAGCACTCATTCGACCATGAAAGGAAGCCAGTATTTAAACGAGGCTTAATTTTCTAATTTTTAACGATACAATAGCAACGATTATTATTTTAAAAAATTTTTGTTAGGCTTAACATTGATGAAAATTCAACACAAAGTAGGTTAATAGCAATATACTAATATACTAATTACATGGGATATAATAATATACTACACTAGTAATGGATTTTTTCATACTTTTCGGTTATCTGACTTTTCAATTATCCGACCAACCCCAGTCCCCAATTGAGTCGGATAATCGAGGCTCTACTGTAAAAGTATTTATCAATTTTTGTGTGTCATTATTAACCAAGAAGAAACCATATTGAAAGTTTGCTTGCATTTAACCCAGGCAATGCTGGGTCTATCTGCTAATATGTAAATACTCTGGAACAAATCATATGAATCAGAAAAAATATTCTAAAAACAATTTTAATTTAATGTGTGTGTCAAACATAAATTGCTTCAATTGTTTAAGGATATAGTTTATTAAATTTACAATAAATCTTTAAATTTTTTATGATTGTGATACTTAGTGACTTAATAAGGTTTTGATATTGAGAGGAATTTCAGATGGATGTTTTTAAATGGTTGAACCACATAACTGGCAATCTTTACATCATAACTGGTTTAACACTTACAACATTATCATCATCTTTCTTGCTTTGAGCTTTTTTGAATTTAACATCATATTTATATTTCTATTCAATATTCAATATATTATATTCATATTTATATTTCTATTGCAATAACCAATGTTTTACTGTTTTGAAATCTTTGTGATCTAGCTTTTCAGCCAACTCCCATAATTTAGTTTTTAGTGTTGAATTATTGGTATACATACTTTATACAGTTAGGCATCATTGAGAGCTTCACTGTTTGTATCATTGTCTTCATGTTTCTGTTTTTTTGGATATTTCTTTTTGCACTTAGCATAATACACATTCCTCCCAGTTTATCTTGCTATCACACATGCAATTATAGATTTAAGCATTCCAGTAATCTCTGCCAGCTTTCGCTGGTATTAGATTGTTAAGTTCTGATTTGTGTAAGTAAAGCAATTTTGTTTACTAATATCAAATCAGTCCATGCCATCTTGGTAGGTGTCTCAAAGTTTTATAAAATTATTTTCAAAAATCAAAACAAAATCACTAGACTGAATACATTTTTTTCTTACTGAGTGATTCAACCCAAGACTACATATCTGTAGTACAGGTAACCCTTGTATAACATGGGAGTTACATTCCAAAAAATTGCCATGTTATGTGAATCCATGTTATACGAAACAAAGAACTAGTGCGAAAAGGGAGGTTAGGTTCTAAAAATTAAAAAACATGCTGTTAAATCCTTATTTAAATTGGATTTATTATTCATTTTTTTTATAGGTAAAATACTTATTATTTAAGTAAATATTTTAGCAGAGGATTATTCATCCTATATGATGATCTCAGCATGACCATCATCAACTGGTAACAGTTTTTGGGTGCATTCGTTAATAGCAGTCGCTCTGCAATGGGAGTGCGCTGCTGTCTGTAGGCATTTAGAAACGATGGTGAAAGAAAGATGGCGGCATCCACACTATCAATAGTATCGTGATGGAAGAATCTATAATTCTAAAATGAGCTTTTAGAGGCAAAAGAAGGGTCCCAATTGTAAAATTTAACCATTAAATGGATTATTTGTTGAAAGAGCATTCAAAGTAGCCACAAAAACAATTAGAATGCTTGCGTGGAGTTCCACGGAGGTATAAAAGAACGCACCCTTTATTACATTTCATGTTGTACGAGGGTTTTACCCAATTCCTGAACCATGTTAGAGTGAACCCGTGCTATAAAAGCACCGTGTTATACGGGGATGTTCCCAATTCTCAAACCATGTTAGAGTGAATCCATTCTATAGAAGTGCCGTGTTATACGGGGTTACCTGTAATTACAAACAGATCATCTAATAGTCAGTGCAGGTAAAATCATTACATTGTCTGAAAAATGCATGTTCATTACTGAGTGATTGAAGATGATATACTCAATAAAGGCCTACATGTTACATGTCACAAGTCACAAGCCAAGCATGCCATATATCACTGTCCTGATTAAACAGTATGGTGTTTCAAATAACTGACACAAATTGTCTATTTTGTTTTTAAGATAAACATCTGCTTTGATTAACTGATGATCCATTAGCCAGAATCTGCTATATATTAAAAAGTGTTCTTGATGATTTTAAATTTTAGAATCAAAGTTATTTTATTGATTTTATTTTCACATTTAATCATGAATCCAAAATCTTAGATCCAAACTCAGCATATCTTATAATTTGCTAATTCTCAATTTTTCATTACATTTTAACTATAATTTTTCAGCTGTTCAAAAAAGAGAGAAAAATCTTTCTGTAAGATGTTAGCTTTGTCAATCTGTCTTATACTTTTTCTTTTATACTACATCCAACAATATTATTTCATCTTTTCCTTAAATTTCTGATATTCTTGTATATTCTCTACATTTTTATATTGTATTTATCTGTATTTTTGGCATAAATATCAGAGTTTATTGAATATTTTTTAAACTAACTAATATTTGATTATCTATTATTCTGCTGTTTTTTGCTATCTTTCTGGTTAACTTTCTTACACAAATTTTCTTCCATNACAAAATAACAGTAACAATTTAAACAAATATTAAAGTCATTGACTTGCAACAAAATTCAAAAAATAATTGATGATGCATTACAAAATTAAAATATCAAAACAAGTGAAATTTATAATGAAATCCTATTTAAAAGATTACAACATTTTGAACAAAATTGAACAGAAGATAAATTTAATAATAATAAAATTATTTTTTGTTTAATTTTTACCAAGTTCATTTTATTATTACTACTGGACAAAGGAAGTTAGTCATAAAATAAAAATGATGCATTGTAATTATTTATAATTTTTTTTTTGGTTTTCTCTATGAAAAATTAAAAAGAAAGAAAAAAATTAAAAAATCTATAACATTCACCAAAAATTAAAAAAAAATTGATTTACCCTAAAATCTCGGTTATAACTGCCCTTTCATATAAGCTGCAAAAGCAAAATTTGTACAGGAATGTTGACTTTTTCACAAATAAGATGCTCTCTTGTAAAGGCCTTAATTTATAGCCAAGGATTTAGGATATAATCCAGAACAAGAACCAATAGGAAAGGAACATTGACAATACAATGAATTTCATGAATAAGTTTATAACCTTTGTTATAGGCTATGGCATGTAGCCAAGGTTATAAATTTATTCATTAAATGAATTCAATTTATTCATAATTAAATAATTCTTTGAAGAAAGATTTTACCTTTTCTTACAACATTTAATTAATTCAAGTGTTTCTGAAATATAAATTTTTTAGTATTTTTGTTTTTGCAGTAAGTAGGTTAAATAAAAAAAATATAAATAAATAAAAAACTGTCATTGAAATATAATTAATACAAAACACTTTATCAACATAAAAATACTAAAAATAATGTTTTGAGTTAGGAAAATCTAAGTTTATCACTTCACACAAATGTTGAATTGGACATGTTTTATCAACAATACTATTAATTAAATAAAATCACAAACTTATGATTTAGGGGTCAGGTATAAATTATTAATGAATGTTTTTGAATCTTTTTTCCTTTTTCAGATTAGTACTTTATTCTTTTCTAATTGGAACATTGAAAATAATTATGAAAATTTGAAGCAATTAGAATGCACTTTTGAATAAACTGCTGGTAAATTTTTTAAAATTTAAATGTTTCCAATATGATGTTATAAACATTAAAATTTTTCATGATGTTAATAGTTTTGAAAATAAAAAAAACTAGATATATCTATGATTTTAGGATATAATGTTACTGATACTGTAATGTCTTTATCACTCAGATGTAAAGCAACATAAGTTTTAATAATATTTTAGACAAAATTGTTACTTTTTTAGTTATTTTAGGTTCCTCTAATTATTAGTAATAAGTAAAAAAAATTCTTGCAGTACAAACTGTAAGTAAGGATGTTGAGATTAAATGGTCAGAAGCCAGAGTAGGTAAGTACACCCCTGAGAAGAATACTTTTGCTATGAACCACTAAAGAGCTTTGCATTGCACTTTTTAAAATAAAGTGTAACCCAGAGGAAAAAAAGAACATTGTTGGATGCATGGATGTGGGTGCTAAAATAACTATGAAATAATAAATTTTAATGATATGTTACACAAAAATATGTTGCTTTAAATCCAAGTGATAGTCATAGTATTTGTAGCATTATATTGTAAAATAATATAGATAAATCTACTTATAGTTTTTTTTATTTTAAAAACTATTAACATTATGAAGAATTTTAATGTTTATAACGTCATATTTGAAGCATTTACATTTTATAAAATTTGAGAGCAGTTTATTTAATGTTTATAATTTTAATTTCAGTTAAAATAATGTTTTTAAATAAAACGTGAAAAGAATTATGAAAATTTGAAGCATTGTTTCAATTGGGAAAGAACAGAATAACAAGCTGAAGAAGCAAAAAGCTATAAAAACATTTATTGACAATTTATTCCTGGTTTCTGTATTATAAGTTTGTGGATTTTATATAACTGTAACTTAACAGTTTGTATATTTTTAAATACTGTATATATTTGATTATAAGCCAACACTAATTGTAAGGCAACCCCAAAATATCAAAAAGAAAAAGAAAAATTTATTAATCAAGCATAAGGAATAAATTTTATACCATTTAATTGTTCATTTGCTGTCATCAGATGACCCTGTTCGAAATATTGATTTGATTTATGTTCTTCTGTTTTTTCGGTTAAAATTGTTTTCAAACTACGTGTAATCAAACTGTCTTCAATTGTACATACTGTAAATATTGCAATTATTGTCTGTATCTGATGGCCAGGAGCCATATCTGTATGTTTCATTTGATTCTTAATAAAACAGGCTGGGCGCCCATGAAACTTTCCCTTTTCATCCCCTTTCCTATCTCGCTTTACTCTTTCCCCTTCGCCTCTTCCCTTAACTACCTTTCCTCTACTCTTCTTCACACTCAGGCAATACCAATGAGTAGTCCCGAGTCTTCATCCCCTTTATGAAAATGAAAATGTCATCAGATGACCTGGATTCATAATCACTTGATTCTTTATCACTGACTTCATACAGAGCATCATCATCTGTGCCATCAAGTGCATTTGAGATTGAACACTTTCAGAGATGACTTCTCTAGAAAGACTTTTCCATGATTACATACAAAATTTATAGAAGCTTATCTGTGGTGGTGATATTTTTGTTATTGATTTTGTTTTGATATTGTGGTTTTTAGTGATATTTTCTGAACTTTTGATTATGTCAGTAAAGGGCATCACCTAATTTACCAACCATATTAATGACACCAATTCTAAGCCAAGGGACATTTTTCTGAACCACAAAAAATTATAAAAAGGTTGGCTTGCAATTGGGTAAATATGATATTAGAATTGTTATGTTGTAAAATATTTATTTTTATTTTTATCTTAGATAGTGCCAATAACAGAAAATAAAGTTGACTCATCTTCATTTGAATTTGACTCAAGACCTGAAATTGGTATTTGTGTCATGTTACACAAATTAGAGAATGAGGTAAGATTTAGATTGTAAATTTATATATATATATATAGGGTTGTTGCAAATAAAGTGGCTGTTTTTAAAATTTAAATTTTCCAGCCCTTGTAGTTTAACTTTGTTCCATGTGCTGTATCTTTGTAATTGGAAGAGCACACATATAATATGTGAATTTAAAATGTAATCTCATTTATATTGTGAGTTCCACATGTTTAAAGAGTACTTTTTCTGTTGGCGTGGAAAAAATAAATTGAATAATTTTCTTTTTCGAGTATAAGTATGGACATAATGCAGCCAAAGCAACCTGAAATACCAATAAAACTTTTGGTGAAAGTTCTGTGAGTGAGCAGGCCACCAGGCATTGGTTCAAAAAATTCATTCTGGGAATACAAATCTCAAAAATCAGAATTGAATTGAAGAACATCATTGAATCAGAACATCAACTTGACTGACCAGGAAATCATGGAATGGTTGAACATAATGGACACTATTCTACCATTTCTCGACATACAGAGCATCATGTTAGGGAAAGTCAAGAAACTCAACAAATGGGTATGCTACATGAACTCAGTAAGATAAATAAGGAGCATCATTTGGTCTGAAGTTCTTTAATTATTCATCACAAAAATGAACGTATTCAAATGAAATTTGTCCCCATTCACATTATTCTCAGGACTTCTTGCCATCACTTTTTTATACATTTGGATAGGTTTTAGGCAAAGAAAGTCTTCAAGGAAGAGAATGCAATAAGAAGTGCCTTTAATGGCTTCTCATTCTAGTGATTTCTATCAAATTGATGTTAATGCATTTCTATTGTATTGGGAAAAGTGTATTAATGTTGGTGGAGATAATTCTGATTGAATATATAAATTTTAAATTAAATTAATAAATGCTTGAAGTCAAAAATAAGAATTGGCTATTTCATTTGCAACAACCTAATATACCAGGGTATAATACACACAGATCAAACTTTCCATGTAACTGGAAATCATTGTTATCTGTTGATTTTAGCACCACAAAACTAGGTCATATACCTAACATTATGTTAGATTCTGAGGTAAATTAATTTATCTTTAAATATGGTAATTGTATTATAGTACAGTGGTGCCTTAACTTAAGAGTTTAATTCGTTCCGTGACAGAACTCATAACTCAAATTACTTGTCTGCCAAATCAATTTTCCCCATTGAAATGAATTGAAATGCCATTAATCTGTTCCAGACACCCTGAAAACATTGCAATTTTTTTGTTACGTGTTTTTAAGTAAGAAAAATATACTTAAAAATAATGAATATTGTATAAAAACACAATAGAATGTACTGAAATAAACCGGTTTTGTGGATGTCATAACATTTGCTGCATAGATAAAGAAAAGGATGGAAAATTCGAGAAATGAGAGACTGTGGTGCCACACACAACATGAAAGTGAACTAATGCTTACATTACTTGATCACATGTTTTTCTATAAGCTATCCTGTCAGGCATTCAAAGAGTAATGAAAATGATGAAATTATGGCAGTTTTCCATCTTTTTTTAATCTATGGTTTGTTGTTGTGTTTGCTGCACCCTCTAGCAGTGGGGTATCTGAAGCTGGCTTGAAACCTGAATTTTAGCTCTCAACTCAAAGCAAAAAATCGGCTGACAGATGGCTAATATCTTGAAAAGCTCATAAGTTGGGACACTTCCATTGTATCAGGTTCAGGTTCATTGGTATCAGGTCACAGGTTCCATTGTATTTATTATTCATGAAACTTTAAATGCAAGTGCTTGATGTTGTACCCAAAATACAAAAGCATGTAAGTTTCTGATTATCCAAAATTTCATTATTTGAAAGATCCTTGATCTCATCAGGTTTGATAATCAAGTTACTACTGTATATAAATGAATTCTAAAATTAATCATAAAATTCAATTAGAATTAAAATTAGTATTTATTTATATAAAAAAAAAATTTACATTTGTAATTGAGATTAAGAACAAATGTAAGTTCAGATCATTGTTAGAGATAGTTTAGTTTAATAAATGTAATTAATTTCGTTTTGTAAGTTTTGTAAATAATTTTTATTACAATATTTATTCTGAAGGATCACCATAAAAATATACTGTTATCATCCAATCACATTAGTGATTCATTAAGTACTTCCACTTCTGATGCATCAGAAATATTAAATAAGGTTGCAGATATAAATATAGGAAATGATGCTTGTCCAGTTAAAGAAAAAATTCATCTAGAGAGTTATCCTTCACCACCTCAAAGATTAAGTAAAAGTGAAGATTTAAAAGAGAAAGTAACAGAAGTTCCAACACAATTATTAAAACAAAGTAAGTATAGATTTCAATTGAATGCTATTTTATATTTATAAAATACTTTTAAATAAAAATAAATTAGACTGGTGATTACGTAGAAATTTTGTTAAAGAAATTTAGTTATTTTATATTAGATCAAAATATTTGACTTCAAGTAGAAAAATCCACTTTAATATTCATTTTATAAGCATTTGAAAGAGACTGTACATAACATTTTTGATATAATAATTATAGTTTTTTGTTCATTAAGTATTTGTATTTTTGTACTAAGATAAGATAAAGAAAACTTTAAATAAATTAGAAATTTAAAAAGATTGAGAAAAATATGATGATAATAACTAGATAATGATTTACATAATATTGATATTATATTAAATGAATTAGTATAATGTTTACTATTGTTTCTACTTTAAAAGAAGTGATGAAAATTTTTTTAATATGTACTCAATTTGAATATTTTGTAGAAAACTTTATTGCAGAGAATTGTAAAAATCTTGTTTCTGGAATAATTAATTAATTACTAATCTTTATTTAGCTGTTAGGAATATATTTTGTCTGGAGCTTTTTTATACATATGAATAATATATGTAACAATTCTTAGATACCTAGCTTTAGATTTTTTAATATTAATAAAAGATATAAATTGAAAAATATATTAACTTTAATACACAAATTAATATACTGGTATCATAATTGGCTTTCAGTTTTTTTATAACTAAGATAATTAGGTATTTCTTCAATTTTGTTAATCTATAGTTAACATATAAAGTACAGTCAACCCCCTATACCGCGGTAGATACATTCCACTTTATAAGAATTTCACGTTGTAGGAATCCTTAAATATATGAGCCAATCACAGCCTGGCACATGTGCAGTTTATGGGCTACGGCTGTTTGAAAGATTTTCTTCCATAAAATTAATCGATTCTAGACTAATTTCACTCAACATTTCCAAAACACGTATAATTTTTTGGGAATAATCTGTATAAACTATGCTATAAACAAAAAATTGTAGGATTACTTACCGAGTGTGCACTGTTCAACGATGCCATTGCTTAAGCTTGTTTTTGCCAAGGAGCAGCACACCAAACGGTGGGTGCGTTTTCTGATAAGTTATTTTTCTGCAAAAAATTCGTTGAACTTTGGAGACATCATTTAATAGAAATAATTTTTATGGCCGTTGAATAAGAAATGTTTTTTTCACAAGAAATGTATAAAATTGCAGTACTGTATTAGACTTACAGTACCTAATTTATGTACAGACAATAGTAAACTCAACTTACCCGCCTAAACTCTCTGTAGCGTGTAAGTATTGAATACTTCGGCTGCTCGTCCACTATTGGTCCAGATTCGACCAATCCTGTCGCGACATGAGTCGGTGATGACGTTTTACCGCATTTTATGAGTCTGTTTTAGCGTCTTTATACGAATACAGGTGCAATTTTTTTACTGCGATATATGAATCCGCATTATATGAACCCGCGTTATGGGGGTCGACTGTATAATGAATATATTCAAAAATTAAATTTGTTTAATATTATCTATAGTTGTTTAAAAATATACGTTACAAAATTAAAAATTGTAGTTTTGTTTTAGACAAGACTTTCTCAAGCTTTAAGTTCAAGACAAGACTTTAGACAAGACAAGCAGTTCTCTATTTGAGACAATATTATAGAGAAATCTTGTCTCAAATTTCATTTAACTATTATTGGTATTTTATATTTATTATGTTTGTAAACTAATTTAGCACAATCTTTTATAATATTCAGCATTGATAAATATGGAAAATTACACCAAAAACAGTTGGTTGCACAGTTAATACATTTATTAGTGATAAAGGTTAAAAATTTATTTAATCAAATTTAAATAATTAATTGTTTAAGAGATGTTAATTTAGAACTGCTGTGAGTAATCGTGTATGGTTATATCTAGGGTTAAATATATCTGGAAGCGAAAAATTACTTAGAGGTTCAAGTGGCATAACTAGCAAGCACACCACATGGTAAGCAAAGGTTGTGGGTTCAAATCCTGTTCTAGGCTAGTTCTTCCAGACGGTTCTAAATTATTTAACAAATTATTAAAAATTATAATTATTAATTTAGATAAGAGATGGTGCCTAACATCTACCTCTTATACCAAATTACTTAATACCTAATCATTAATAATAGCAAATTATATCTTGATTAATTACAGCAATAGTTTGGTTTACACAATTTGTTTTGATCTAACACATTTCAATAAATCTGTCTTTTTAAAAATCTCCATTTGGTTTTAATCTGAATAAAAAATATTCATACTTTTTTCCCTAAAAAATTTTTTTATAGTTTACATTCAAGGCTGCTACACATAATTAAATTTTAACATTTGATTTTTTTTACATTTTTTGACTCTGTGGGTCTTTTAATCTTACCCATTATGGATTTGGTCAGGCTCACAATGAGAATGGCCAGGTGGTGACAGACAGAATACACCTTCCAAAAATTCCTGGTGGTTTTCAACCACTTTTGGATTTGATCTCAGACCCTTCAAAAGTTGGAAGTCAACTCCTCAACTGCCTCAGTTATCTGATTGTCAATTAAGATTTGACTGCTTTATATGACTTATTTGAACATGTGTAAGGACAGTCTTTCATTCTGACTTCATTCTGCAAATGAAGTAGTCAGAAAAAGTTTAATTTGGAGTTTGATGATTTGTTTTTATGATTGGGTTTCTTTCAATTTCTTTTGATACAGAATAGTTATTGTATGCCATTTAATATTAAAAGTTAAGAAGTATTTTGGTGTTTAATTGAAAAAGTGAAATAAAAAATAAATTATTGTGATAAAATAAATCATTAAATTTTACTGTTGAATAAGTTACAATTGTCTTTCTCCTGATTTATTAACTAAATAAAATATTTTGTTTAAACACATTGGTTTAAACATACATTAATTGGTTCATCATATTATTTTTTAGTTTTTTAAGGTCTGGAACCAATCTTTCATTTTTCCATACAGACAGTATTTTTCTTTTTTTTTAGGAATATATCTACCATTTTAAAACAAAATTGGATGTATATAACAAATATAAATTTATTTTATTTTTTGACAGTTCCACAAAGTACTGATGTGCCAAGAGTTTCATTCATTGATAATATTGTACATGGAGCCTCTTCTAATATCAAAAAAATTGAATGTCCTTCTCAGTCATTACTTGTTCCACATCATTTTTGCTTTACAATTGATTTAAGGACATTAAAACTTATTCAGCAGAAAGCTTATTTAAATTGTTTTCTGAGGTTAGAATTATAATTAAATTAATAATGTATAATTTAAAAATTGCATGCTAATTGCTATGTAGGTATTTTGCATTTTGATATTTATTTAAGATATATATTTTGTTTTAATAATATATTTTTTAGGTATTCTTATCCATTTTTTGGAAGCACTGTTCCAATTTTAACCCATCCATGTGTTGATGTTCGTTCTGGAATCGAAGTAACTCTTCCTCATGGTTATTGTGCTTTTAATTTTGCAACACTTCATCATCAATTAGAAAGTACATTTAAAGAGTAAGTATTATTTCAAAAAGTTAATTTTTTTGTGTAAAAAGAATAAAATTTTAAAATAAGATTTAATACATTTTTCTATTTTTAAATGATGATACAATAATCATTCTATAATAATCATGCTGATCTAATACAATACATATTATTTCTTTAGATTAGCATGAATGTATGATTATGGTAATTTCAGACTGATAATCTGTAGGTTATTTGTGTTTGAAAGATAATTTGAAAGGGAGTGTAGTTATGGAATGGGGTGCGTTATATGCTGATTTTAGATTCTTATCACAAATTACAGTTGATTTAAATTGTACACAATTTTTACCCTGGATTCATTTTCGAGACTACATGTCTTATCATCAGAGCATAAAATATGAAAAACTGAAACAAAATAACAGTAACAATTTAAACAAATATTAAAGTCATTGACTTGCAACAAAATTCAAAAAATAATTGATGATGCATTACAAAATTAAAATATCAAAACAAGTGAAATTTATAATGAAATCCTATTTAAAAGATTACAACATTTTGAACAAAATTGAACAGAAGATAAATTTAATAATAATAAAATTATTTTTTGTTTAATTTTTACCAAGTTCATTTTATTATTACTACTGGACAAAGGAAGTTAGTCATAAAATAAAAATGATGCATTGTAATTATTTATTTATTTTTACACTTAATTTATTTACATAATTGAGACTGATTCAAAAATACCTGCGATTGAATTACAGAATGGCTAGTTGAGAACAGGGATGAATTTCTCAGCAGCCACTTCCCTGTTAAGACCAAGTATCACACATACAAGGCATCTTCAAATATGCATTATTAAGAAACTTAAAGCAGCAAATACACATAATTTAAGGTAAAAATAACACAACTAAATGCCCTAAGAATAAATTAAAACACAAATACAAGAAACAAAATAAATAGCGTGTAATAAAATGAAAATTGCATTTACTGGTCGCATACTATTGAGTTTGGCATCTTAATTAAACATAGCTGCCAGATTCACCACATGTGTACTGCTTTCATGCTTTGCATAAGTTCCTTTTTTCATCTCAGCCTTTTTCAAGCTTTTCTTCTACCAGTTAGACTTTGTTACTTTCTTACACTTCTCAGATGCTTAATAAGTAAAAACTATATTGGATTGAACAAAAAGTTTTTTGGTATTTTTAACAGTTGTTGTTACTTAATATAGATGTGTGGTTTAATTATAACAGAATTTTAACACATTATTACTAATTTGAGATTATAGTCTTTGTTCACAAGCTTATTTCATGCTTTGAGTGCATTTTTAATTCTGTGTGCAGTTTTGAACTTTGAAGTATCATTTGAAACTCCAATGTGAATTTTTGTCAGTTTTGGTATTCAAACTCTAAAGTGTTGAGGTTAGAGTCATTCAAAGTATGAGGTATTTAATAAAATTATTTATTGGCAGAATTTTTACATACTTTTTATGATGTACTAATTTTTGGTAAAGAGGCTGTTTTTAAACAACAATGACAAACTTTTAGGGGTGATAGATGATGCTAAGGGCCAGCATTTACAGGTAGCCCTCGGTTTACGCCGGTTCAATTTACGCCGATTCACAATAACGCCGCTGCACAATTCGTCGTTTTGAGGTGTAATTCCCCTATTTTCCCTATGCTAGACTGATTTTCATTTCAGTGTTGGCTTATTTACTGAGCCGCGACATTGTACATTTGTTAAAAAAAAATATTTTTATTGAATATATTTATTTTTTCTGTTTAATATTTTTAGGTATGTATACATTTGCATTAAATTAATATTAAAATACTAAATGTTTAGGTACCCACGAGTCAAGATATTAAACTTAAATAGTCCAATAAATGGCGTCTGAATCCATAGCTCCAATGAATGTATCCCGTATCAGTTCATTCAGGAAAACACCTTACGACGCAATAGCACTTCCGGCGAACACAAATTATCGTTAGTGAGACAAATCTACTTCTTGTTGGCCAGATGATATTTATCTCTCCTTAATTTTCCCGCTCAAACTGACCTTATATATGCGCTACGGCGACCGGTGGTCAACCAATCAGTGTCTCTGCTCGTCCGTAGCTCTACGTCGGGTTAACGTATCCTTTCAACCAAGGAAAGTTTGACGGATGAAGTTTGTGAGTTAGACAATGGTTGGGAGCGAAGTGCAAATGTAAAAAGGAGCATCATATTCGAGCATATTCCAAAATTCGTAATGAAAGAAATCAAAAATATAAACAATTAAAGATGGATACTTTTTTCCGAAAAATGTAAGAAATTTGAAACTAAAATCTTTAAATAAAAACATTTTATTTTATGTTAAAATACATTTTAAAAATTAAATTTATATGTATTTTGTATTATATTGTATTAATAAACAAAATTATTAGCTTATTTTTTACTTATATAGAACCTAACCCTATACCTCACTGTAAATATGGGTTTGTTTTACGCCGATTCGATTTGCGCCAGCTTTTGTAGGAACGGAACTGCGGCGTAAACTGAGGGCTACCTGTACTAATAAACTCTGGGGTTGAAACCAGGGCTTTGGAGCAACCATTTTTTAGAGTTGCTCCACTCCAACTCTGCTCTGGCATCAAAGTATTTGCTCCAGCTCCGCTCCGTGCTTCGCTCCATGATCCGGTTAAAATATTCTTATAGGAATTACACTAATTTTTTCTTTGATATATAAGTACATAAAAAAACTTGTTTATTTACAACTAATTTATTATTAAAAAAATTAACATACAACCTCATTGATTTTAATAAATAAAATGTCAGACAGCAAATTGTCGTTCATTGACTGCCTATTATCACTTAAAAGCAAGCTTAATCTGGAAAATAGATACTCAATACTTGCTTGAGAAGTTGGCATGCTTGAAGTGATTCTGCATTCTTTTCTGATGACTCTTGCTTAAATAAAGCTTTATCTGTGAAGAGCACCATACTGGAAAATTGTGGCTGTAAAGCACACTCTTACAGAAAATTACTGTGCAAATTGTACCTGATAGTCATTTTTAAACAAAGCCTGGTCTGCCTGCCTATGAAGTGATTACATCTATACCAATTTCTTAGGCATCTGTCTATGAAATGGGTATATATGTATAGTACAGATTAGGCTATTATTCAGAACATAAGCAGCAGCCATTCTTCTGTTTCTAATCATATGAACACATCCATTCTAAAGTAACAACAACAGAATGATAAAAAGATACACTTCCTAGATTTATTAATAGAAGTAGAAAGAGGAGGAGAAATCAATACTAAAGTGTACAGAAAGCCCACTTATAATCCGTTATTAATACCATGGACCTCCACAATCCAGCAAGTTATAAACTGGCAGCATTCAGGGCACTTGTAAAAAGAGCGAACATGCATTGCAGCAAAATGCAGGACAGACATAAAGAATTAGAACACATCAAAAAGTTAGCATGGTAAGTCGGAGTCAATCAGAATAAAATAAAGGCCTTAATCAATAAAACAAGAAAAGATGATAATGAAAGTAATGAACAGGGAAGAGCAGCTACTAACAAAAAGATAGTATTTAAAAGGAACTTAACAGTATATCAGATGCTATGTATGGACAAAGATCTTATAGACCAGAACCTTATTCCTGGAGTTTACAGAATATCTGTACAAGATGAGAAGCGGCAAAAAGAACTGTACTACACTGGAGCTACAAGGAGGTCATTAAAAGAAAGAATAAAAGAGCATAAAAGGAACCTGCAGAAGGAGCAACTGTCATGGCTTTAGTGACATATGTTATAGCAGACCCAACAGAGGTATCAGTGTAATGGGAAAGAGCATAAATAATACATAAGGTTCAGGACAGGAGACATTAAATATGCAGAAGCCTGGCATATTCACAAGAGCAGTCTAGCAGTACAGGCTATAAACTTCAAAGAATCATATAAAGTATCTGCAGCATGGAGAGCAGGTGCATTATGAACGTATCAGCATAAAGATAAAAGCATGCACATACGTTAATAGAAGCCAGTTATATCATCTATTTCTTTATTATTATTATTAATTTGTATTTTTATTTTTATGTATTAATGTATGTGGATATTTGTACATTATAATTATTTTCGGACTTGTGCAATAAGCGCCGAGAAAGCGGTTAAAGTTTAAACGTTCTATAATCAGTTTCATTCATCATAAATAAAAAATTGTTTGTTTGATCCTGACAAAAGTCAATTAATTTGATCAAAAATATTAGATTACATTAAAAAAATAGACTGCATGTTAAAGGTTAGTAAAGGAAGGTTATATTTAAGTAAGTGCAGTTTGAGAAGAGCATATGAACAATGTCATGTGTACTGGTGAAAGGTAATCCTTTAATGTGCACCAATACCTCCTCAAAAGTTGTTATATAATTATGTTATGGACAACTTGTGCCATGTTATTTTACATGGTACTCAATACAAAATGTAATTTAGATTTGTACAATAATCTTCTGTATTCTTTAGCCTCCTTTAGCATCTTAAGGTGGTGTTTCTGCCTCAGAATTTATTAGTAAGAATTGACTGTGTTGTAACCATATATTACTTTTATAAATTCAATGTTCAAAAGCACTTTAGTTCATGATATGAGCATGAGTTCATTATAGAAATGATTGAATGTTCTGAACTTTCTGTTATGAAGGTGAACTGAAGCTAAAAACTCAAAATTTTAAAAGCATTCTTTAATTTAACCCCTTAAGGACATTGACATTTTTGATATTTTATAATTATTAATTTAATTAAACATAAAAAATATTTAAAACTGAAAAAAAAAACAAAAGAAATGCGTTAATTTTGAAGAAAAAGCTTCAAAGTTTAACTTTTTTTGTCTGTCCTTTCTGCGAAATTTGACACTGATGAGTCATTGTTTACACAGCTGGATGACCTTGAGAACATCTGGTCTTGGATTTCCTGGGGCATTCTCATAGACGTCTCGGGAGGACAAGGGTTTACAGTAGGGTGAATACTAGCTGGCCGTATATTTTTACATATTTTTAAAAAATTAAAATTTTTATTGCGATTTCCGACCCCCCAATTAAATAAACTTATATATAATAAAATATATTAATTAAAAAAATTAAAAAACTATTGGAGGTCGTTTTTGATATCAGAAACTAGCTTTAAATAACTTTACCGAAGTAAAATCGTGCACTACAACTTTAGAACGATTAATTAAATTTCATTAAAAAAATCCCATAAAAAAAACAATTAAGTGTTAATCATGCGTCATTAAAGGTTGATTAAAATCGCAATAAAATTTTTTTGTGCGGGAAAAAATTTTTGAAAAAATTTGGAGACTTAAAAAACATTCCAAAAATAAAAAAAAAATAACAATTTTTCCAGGAGGGCCTGAAAGACCAATTTTTCATCACGCTATGGGACATGCTCGAGTCAGACTCAAGCGTGGTGCAGAAGGGTTAAATTAATCTCTAAAATTTGTTTGATTCCATGTTAGCACTATCAAACATCCGAATACACTTATTACAACTGTAGATACATCTCACTATTACATTGATAATCCCGAAAATGAAAATAATATAAAAAGACTGTATATTACAGTCGAACTTAATACTAAAATACAGAAAACAACAATAAAGGATAATTACAGACAGAAGATTTGGCAGTTTATTGCTGCAACACGAAATAAAATGCAGCTAACATGAAATGCCAATGTAGCTGCAAGAATACAAAATAAATAAAACAAACAAACAAACAAACAAACCAACCATTGTAGCCATTTGCTGCAAAAGTCTTTGATAACCTAAGTTATCCATAGGAACAGACCCGACATCATTGTTAGCTAGAAAAACAAAATAAAAGTTTTCCTCAGAAAAGCATATTAACACAGTATCTAAGAATGGTAAGGTTCATTGTTGGGTTCTGCTTAGACGTTCGCACTTAAGTTGTAGTGTGATTACAGTACGAAGTTAACTCTGTTAATTATTCATGCCTTTACTCACTGATATACAGGACATGACCTGTCCATAGTGTTGTGGTTTTTTTTTAGGTTCTCCTTTATACAGTTAGCACATTTCACACTATTGTTCTTATTATTGCAGTCTTTATAAAGATGGTTACCACTACAATGGCTACAAAGATGTGATTCTGCCTGACAATCCTTTGCAAAATGCCTGCCCATATGCCAAACACTTAAAACATTGATGGACAGGAACAAACAGTCACTGGGCATCTGGTCCATTGGATACTTAATTTTTCCTCTTTTAGAATGAGATCCTGAATGTGGGGTGTGATCTTGATCACCCATGATGTATTATTTGCACTTTTCTGGATAACTAGCAATATGATTCTCACATTACTGACAAATTCCATTGAAGTATAACATTTGCTTAGGCAAAAATTTTGCTCAATAATAGATTCCAATAGATTATCCTTGTCAATAGTCTTAGGCACAGAACTTATTTTTAGAAGTTGAAGTCGCTTCTTTGCACACTCAGCAGTTAAATCTGGAATATTCAAGTAGCTGCCTGAAGATTTTTCATGTCTGCCATATCTATCACATCAACTGCCACTCTACCCTTGTTTATATTCCTAATAAGCTGTACCCCCATATCAAGACTTGCAGGCTTTACACTAGATGTAAGGAGTGCCCTTGTCTGATCAGACATATTTTCCTTCTTTTTACTGTACACCAAAACGATGAAAGTCGGTTTAGGGGGCACAATTACTGGCTCTAATGGCTTTATGCCTTTCTTTAGTATTTCTCTATAACTTGAAGTTTCCAGCACTTCCCACCTAGGTGGACAGATCGTGTGGTCTTACTAATATTACAAATGTCCTCTTTGACTTTTGTTATTGCCTCAATCATCTTATCACTATGAATAGAAATTGCCTTTTCTAACTCCTCTTTAGTAATAAACAATGATAATCTTTTATCTAATATGTCAGGTAATCTATTACCCTTGATGGTCATCTCAGCAAGATCTATAATCTTTGTAACCTGCTCGGTAACATACAATAAGTGATCACGTGTACCCAACCTGCCCTTAGGGTTTTCTGCAAAGTATTTCTTAATTTCATCTAATACTGTGAAGGCCTCTTCTAAAGTCCTCTGCAACATTTGCCTCCATTGCAAATCACAGATGACAAACTTAGAACAACTAGCTATGAAGGTTGTAAATTTGGAATGCAGACAAAACAAATGTATTCACAACATAAGTATTGTAGTAAAACTGATTTTAAAAACTCTACAGGACTGACAAAAGTTGGGCATCGGGTGTATACATGGTTCCCTTCATAGACAACAGATTTCAAAGGGATTTAGTATACATCAGGCCCACAAAGCACTCTCTAAGCAAAATATTACAGGAGCACATATATATCACTAACAAAATGCATACCAATGCCTTATCCACCTACGCCACAGACCCTGACATACGGGCTGACCTCCATAAAGCCAAACTGGTCAGATTGTCACATCGAATTGAACACCTTCAGAGCCTTGAGGCATTAGAAATTTACAAAGCCAGCTTGCATGGCAACTGTGTTAACACAAATGATGCCATTAAGGTTTCCTATGGCATCATTGGAGATACTGTTATGAAAAAACGGGCAACACTAGCAGTTAGCAACGTTTTTCTATACCATTATTTATATTGTATTATTCACTGTTTATGGTATAAATATATTTCTATCGCCATGGTAACATATATGGATAAAAGTTGTCTACACATGCTTAGATTGTTCCATAGATTTTAAAATAATTTTTGAACATGTTGTTCTATACATTCCGTAGGTTTTTAAAAATAATTTGTAAATGTTGTTCTTTGCAATTGAAGTTTGAATCTTACTGGTTTAAAAACTTGAGGAAGACCAGGATATGATCAAAAATGTTAGTTATCCATTTTATTAAAGTGTTGTTGTTGTTACGGGACTCCTAAGGTTCTCGAGTGCGAATTATATATTCCAGTAATTCTGTAAGAAGTTGTTTTAAATACTTTTCATTGACAGAAAAAAAAATCGCTCAAAACATTGCTTTTTTTATTTGAAGGTTTATATTCCAAAAATGATTCAGTATGTTTCCTTTTTTTTTTTTTTTTATCAGTTTAGGTGTTCTTTCTGAGTACTGCAGCCTGGAAGCAAAGATTTTGTACCAGGTTTCAGTACTCAGACAAATAACAAAAACATTGTTAATTGTTTTTATTGTTTAATTAGCTTTATATTTAAATTATTAAAATATTTATATTTAAATATTTTATACAATCTTAATATTATATATTTATACTCATAAATATAATTTTATGTATTTAATAATAAATTTTTGAATATTAAAATATGTGATGTTTTTTTTAAAGGTTTCCTCTTATAATTGAAGTGATGCATCGTGATAAAGAAGGTAATCAAAAAGATAAATTTGTAGGAAGTGTGAAATTACAACTAAGCACTGTATTAGGAGAATCTGCAACAACATTTGCAGTTAGTATTTTCTTTAATTTTTGTTAATATATTTCATAAGATTTAAATTCTGATAGATATTTTATACAGTCATCCTTGCTTAATTTGAAATGTTTTGGACCTTGAAAATGGGACTTTGAATTATCTGATTTTGAACTAAAAGGGTAATTTTCTTTTTAAAGAAATACCTGTATGGATTTTTACTGTTATACAGATCATCCATGCTACGTATGGTGCTGAAAATTTTATTAAAAAGCATTTTTAAAATTTTTATTTCTTGGCTCTTAACACGTTCATGGCATTACGAGGCACATGTGACTCGTCTGGACATGTCTAGTTAGGGCTACAGACATAATTGCTTGTTTTTCAGTGGGGCAGTGCATATGTTTTGATAACATAATTCTACAAACATCATACTTGATATATCGATTTTATTTTATTAGGTGCAATAAAATATATTAATTTAATAGTACGAGGCATGGGTGACTCGTGCTGCCCTGTATTAAAATAGAGTACAAGTCACGGGTGACTCGTAATGCCTAGCAGCTGCCTAAACGTTTAACTACTGACACCATGAACGTGTTAATTGGGCTAGTATTGATCTGTTTTTTATTTTTATTACAACCATATCATACTTTATGATTGTTATACATTTAATAAAACACAGGTTAAAAAAAATATTTCAAAAAATTCAAAAAAAACACATAAATTTTAAATATTATTTAAAAAATATTCACTGCATTAACTAGTTAGATCTGTTGTTTCTCTTTCAAAAAAATCAAATTTTAAGTTTCTACTATGATTAAAATGCTATAGAGCTCCAATTCTTCCAAGAAATCTGGGCAAAGCCAAATTTTAATGGGGTAAATTGCATAACACTGCATGTGGAAGACAGATGACATTTTACACACAGTTGTACATAGGTAAAACTTCAATACAGGTGGTTCAAAGAGGAATACAGTTTAATGCATTTCCTGTGTTTTGGCTATGGAGAGAAGGAGTCTCAACTCCCCTATCTCAGATTAAATGTTAATTACAAACAATGTACTGCAGATACAGACATGAAAATTAGACAGTTGGTAGTAAACATCTAAACAAAACAAAAAGACATTAAAATTTTAAATCTAGCATGTCCAACTTTAGCATGCAGAGAAAATAAAAAGCCATTATAAGAGCTGCATGTAGGTTATGCAGTATTTAATGTGTTTATAAGTCATAAGAATTCAATCTCATTTGCCAGACTGAAGGGTATTTGCTAAGAATTGCTGGGAAAGAAATTGATCTTCCTGAAATAAAAATAAACAGTCTTCACCTAGCCCTACCAAGATATAAGAAGTGTTTTACAGTAATTTCATTACAGTAGTCTTCTATGTCATTACTGTCTTGCAATTATACTACTATAGCTTTCTTGTCATTAATAAATACACAATTAAACTTTTAGTGCTTATCACACTGACTCACTTGATTTGTCTTGCAGTTAACTTTTATCTTATCATCATCTAAATGTGCTTATGTATATAATGATAAAGCATACCCTTTACGGCATCTCCATCTTGTTATGAGGGATCCAGTTGTATAGCTTATGAATTTGGGCTACTGTATTTCAATTAAATTTCCTTGTTTTGGATGTTTACAGTTGAGTCTGAGTTGTGCATTTGCTAATGTTGACATGATTGTGTTGAAGACTGGAAGATATCATAAGCTGAGAACAATATCAGAATATCTGGCAATATTGTGTTGTATTCAGTCTTGCATATATAGGCATTGATCATTTTCCCCCAGTTTACATTTGTAACCTGGGAAATTGTTTTTCTTTTCATTCTGCATTAGATGAGGTCTTTATTAGGATTTACTCTTCATTTTCTAGGATTCTGTTGATCCTATTTCTTACTTTTCTTCAAGAGTGTCTTTAGAGGTGTGAAGGATGCTACTGAGGCATTCTAGCCAACTTTCTTTTAGGATCTTGACTCTGAACTTATCTCCAAGATTGTGATAAGGAAGAAAAGATGGCAGAGAGCAGCAAGTATGATACTTTCAGATATTTCTCTGACCTCTTCTGTTCCTTCCGTATCTAAAAACTGCATTGGTGCTGAGACGAGTCTGATTGACTCTATGATTATAGGAATGCTCTTTTCCTTAATGATGAAAATGGTTTAGAGAGTGGCAGGTTTGAGACCTTCAAGTTTCTCTGGCATTGTTTTTATTTTTTCTGTCTGCAAAGTTTAAACATTATTACTGGAACTCTGTCAAAGACGTATTCAGATGTATATGACTCCATCAATCAAACCAACACAAAAAATGCTACAAATATTAAGGAGTCTTTGATGTTTTAATCAAACTTACATTTTTTTTTCCTGAAGCATTTTGCCTCATTATCAAATCACAACTGATTTAAATAAAGAACAGTTTTTCAAAAATATTCTGATGGTGCTATTTGAATGTTCATAATATTGTACAACACTGAAATTTGATGTTTGAGTCATAAAACAAACATCTTATGGACTAATCTGTTAAAATAAAAGCATGACATATAATACTGGGAATCTGCAGACATGTAGATCCAAGAACAATGTTTTAGCATCATTCTGATATTCTATGGTGAATGAAATAGAAGAGTTAATTGAGGACATCATTTCTATAAAAATTAATAGTTCCTTCTCTAATTTCTCCCAAGTGATTAAGACATCATCTACATATTGTAGGTAAAGGAGAGGGTATTGCATAGCATCACATTCCTCATAATAAAATCAGTTAATAAGTTTTTAAAAAAGTTGCTTGTTATATTTTTGTTCCGTTCAAATATGAAAAACCTTGTTCAATTTGATTTCAATTGAATCAGGCTAGTTGTAAGCTATGAAGTTGATGAGGCTAGTTGTAAGCTATTGAAAGTACTTGCAATTTTGAATAAAAAGTTGCTTTTAATGCTGTAAGACAATGAGCACATTACATCATAACTATTTTAGTGTGAAGTGTAGTTAATTTGATAAACACTTTCAGATCTCTTTTCTTAGTCTGCTTGATTGGCTTCTCAGAAGAATGCCTACTTATTTTCAAGATCTGTTATAGCTGATTTACAGATGAATATTAGACTGGTAGTGGCATTGATGCAGGAATCTGTGAGGAGTATTCAAAGGAAATTTGAGTGTATTCTTCAATCAGCTCCCACAATAATATCAAGCACTGGCATTTGTTATTGCTTGGTGTGTTTACACTATTTTGAATAAATGTCTTTGTGATAGGACTATCTATATTGTCTCTGATAGTTAGGCCACTGTTTGAAAGTACCTAACTCTTGTTTTAGACTGATTACTGTTTTCTGAACTGGTTATACACATCAGGATTTTTTTGTTGTGGGTATTGAGGTACAAGTGAGGATATTGTGGTTAACTCTCATGCTGATTTGTTGTCCAGAATATTCTAATCTTTTATTTGGACCTGAACTTGCGTTAGGTATTCCTTTTAACCATTTTTGTAGAGATGTTGGTGACTACATTTTTACAGGTATCTTAATCAGAGAAGAAAAACTATTTTTCAAATATAAGTTTTTTTTTTTATATAGCTTATTTTTTTGCAAAAATTGAAGAATTTGTATTTAGTAAGAATTATAAAGGTATTCATTTTCTGTTTGGTATTATGATTGGCTTATGTCACTTTTGGAAACATGTTTGCCAGCTCAAATTTTTCTTCACTTTATTCAGATTTTTTATCAATTCTTTTCAGCTCATTTATGAGTATATGATATTTTTTCTAGAAGATTTATATTAACCTAGATTCTTTATTTATAGCATAGACATTATCTCTCCTGTTGGAATTTGTTGCATTTTTTTAAAAGGGCTAGACTCATAAAGTGATTTTATGTGGGGTTGCAGAATGGGTTTTATATATAAAAATATGTAAAATGAAAAGTATTTGCATGTTGCTAAAAAGCATTAATTTGTTATCAGGTGAATTCATTAGATTCATGTAGTTTAAATGTCTATTGAGCTAAGTCTGTCAGAGCTATCTATATCTGTGAATAACATGATTCAATCCAATTTGCAAGGGATGAATTTTGTTGTAATGAATACTGATGCTTTAGCATTTGTTAAGATTCTTGATTAAATTTCTGAGCATTTGTATACATAGAGAATATACATTTTAATAAACAAAGTGAAAGAAAACAATATTCAGCAGAAATGCATTCCAAAGCAGATGTTTTTGACATCTTCAGGTTAACTGACCTTTACAGCTGTTAAAACAAGGTGATTTATATGAAAGCTCTTGCTTTTGTATAAATTTCTGCTGGATATTGGTTTTCTTGTTTTATTTATTAAGTATAGCCAGTTTTGAGCAGTGGCTTATATACAGTATGTTTTTAGAGCATTTGTGTATATAGTTTCTATAACACTTTGTATCTACTTTTTACATTCTGTGTTCTGCATAAGCATCTGTGTAATTAATTTCAATTTGGCAACAAAATGGCTATCAACTACAAGGACAACAACATACAGCTTGGAGAGCATTATTAGATACAGTCGACCCCCCCTATAAGATCATAGATACGTTCCATTTTTTAGGAATCCGATTTCTTACGAGTCGTTCCAATCACAGCCCGACACGTGTAAAGTTTACGGACTACGGCTGTTTGAAAGGTTTTCTTCCATAAAATTAATCGATTCTAGACTAATTCGACTCAACATTTCCAAAATACGTATATATTTTTTGGAAATAATCCGTATAAACTACGCTATAAACAAAAAATTGTAGGATTACTTACCGAGTATGCACCATTCGACAACCCCATTGCTAAAGCTTGTTTTCGTCGCGAAGCAGCACACCAAACCACGGCCGATTTCTGATAACTTATTTTTCTGCGAAAACTTCGTTGAACTTCGGAGACATCATTAATATAAATAATTTTAATCGCCGTTGAATAAGAAATGTTTCTTTCACAAGAAATGTATAAAATTACAGTACTGTATTAGACTTACGGTACCTAATTTACATACTGTACAGACGATAGTTAGCGTAAAAATCTCCGTAGCGTGGCGCCACGCTAGACGGCGGAAATTATATATTTAATTATAACAAAGTTACAATAAGTTAATATATAATTATATATACAGTACCTAATTTATATATAATTAATATATAATTATATGTACAGTACCTAATTTATATATAATTTATATAATACTGTCCAGACGATAGAAATCTCTCCGTAGCGTGGCGCTACGAACGGCGGGAAAGTAGTTCGGCTGCCCGATGACGTTTAACGTAATTATAGGGGGTTTTTTACCGTTTTTTACGGATACCGTCACAATTTTTTCACAGTTTTATAGGAATCGTAATTATTGGGACTGTAATTATAGGGGGGTCGACTGTATTTTATATTGCTTTTGCATCTAGATCAGGGCTTCTTAAACTTTTTTTATTCACGACCCCATTTATGATTGTGATTTTTTTGCGGCCCCAAAAAATATAAAATAAAGATATATACAAATTTGCGAAAACAATAATGGTGTACTACCACAGTGCATAGTTGTGTTACAATGGAACAGAGACAACTGAATACATTGAAAAGCAACATTACTACATTAGTTCACATTACAATCAATGTTGCTGAATCGTTGTCTCGCTGCACCAGAAGTGACACAACTCATGAAACCTATGACACAAAGCGTGCCATTTTCTGACTCTTACAAATTATTTTCAATATTTTGCATTAAAATCTCGCGACCCCAAGATTTCGCTAAGCGACCCCAAATGAGGTCACGACCCATAGTTTAAGAGGCCCTGATCTAGATATTTACATCCTGATACAAATATATGACACCTGATGGTCAATCAGACATTTGTTTTATATTTTAAATTAATACATTTCATCATATATTCTATTTTGATGTATATTTCCAAAATAAGTTTTAATTTGAGGATGATTGCTAGCAATCAAAGATTTTTGTTTTTCTCCATTTCATTTGTGTTTCATGAGTTGGATTGGTTGAGCAAGTGTTTTGAATATTATCCAGTATTTAGTGCATTTATTATTTGTTATAATGACAGTGAAATTGAAAAGAATGTTATTGTCTCAACAAGTTGGAAATATTTGATAATACTTTGAAAGGAGAAATATTTGTATTAATCCTTAACTATACATACAAATTTTCAAGTATTAGTATAAATTCAAAAGAGTGTCTTTTCATTAAAGTATTACCAAATTAATGCTTTAAAGTTTTTACATAAAGATATGCTTTTATATTTCTTAAATAAAAGTATATTATTTTTTTTAAGTTAGAAATAGAGAGAGAGAGAAAATCAGAAAATCATTGTTCAAAATCTAACATTGTAACTATTTTTTCTTGTTGATGGTACATATTTTGAAGAGAATATTTCATTTAATTTTCTGTATATAATAAGTTTTTGATTATTAAATCTATTCTCTGATATAAATTAATTTTGTAAAAGTTTATTTATAATTATTTTAGCGAGAAAATGGAGTAATTGGAACAAGGCAAATAACTACTTGTTGTATTCCTGTTCTCTCTGATGAGCAGTAAGTTTTATTTTGTTTAGATATATAAAAATAAAATAAATAAACACTTTATAATATTTTTTTAATATATTTTTTAAAATATTGTAACATAATAAAAAGAAGACAAATTGGTGACCTTCTTGTAGTAATGAGCTTGGATGATTTAGGTCCAACAAACATTCCTGTAGTATTAGCTGAAGCAAATCAGCAAATTCTAAATTCCTATGTAAGTTTATGTATTTATAAAATAAAATTTAGAACTTAGATTAATATGTGGTAATGAGTTTTACTTTCCCAGCTGTTATGTATACATAACAAGGGAAAGTAATGGAATTGTGTCAAATTTGACCCTCCAAGTTTTTTTGCAAATCTCCATGCTTTGAGATCCCTGAACCCAAAAATAAAAAAAATGGCAAAAAATTCTGTGCGCAGGTGAGTGTATGTATTGGCATCTATTTCACTTGATATCTCAGAACGGGGTGAAGGTAAAGAAACAAAATTTAGCACAGTAGTTTGTATATAAGGGATATTGTTGCTATTAAATTTTGGTTGTGAAAGGTCAAGGGGATGGAGAGATAGAGGGCGGTCGTGTGATATAGCTCATGAGGGGTCAGACTTAATGAAGATTTTACTTATTAGCATTTATAGTGTTTTGTAAAACTCATCTCTACCCTAAAAATTAAGTCTTTTGCTATTTTATAATAATTTTCATTACAATTTTTACTCCTTTTTCCCAGAGAAATGAAATTTTCATTTATATGTACTTTTATTAAACTTATTCTTAATTGGCAATGTTTTAGAACCTCTTAAATCAGACAGTTTAGCCACTATTGGTGACTTAAAAGGGTTGAAAATGCTCTCAATTAAGAAGATTAACTGGATTTAGCTCTATAACAAACAGTAACAGAAATATAAATTGATAATGGTGCTAAGAAATAAAGTCTATAAAGATTTATTAAACTTTGTTCTGTTTTTGAATCTCTCTTTTTAATTAATTTTGTATAGATGATCTTATTAAGTCTATATCTTTATGTAACACACAGTTATTTTTCTAATTGATTCTGAAATATTGTTGTAAAAAGTGGAAATTTTTTCTTCAATTAGAATATCAGATTTAGACATTCTGATCAGTTAATTTGATAAAATTATTTTAAAGTTAATTTATCAAAAGAAATTCATAATTTTTTGAATTCCAGTAATCTGGTAATCTAATGTGATAGCGTTTCCAGAATTTATTTCTGAGGTTGAAAATTTACTATTGATTTTATTAATAGTAAATTTTTATGAATATTGCTATTTTATTATTTTTGGGCATAGATCTTTGATACAATGTATTAGAATTAAAATATATATTTACATTATAATTTTATTGATAAATAAATAGTCAAAGCTGATTGCCATTATTGTACATTTGATATTTATATATTAAACAAATAAAATTTTTTATATTTTAGTCACAACAAGATCATTATGAATTGAACTTAAGCAATAAACTTACAATGGAAAAACATACAAAAATATTTGAAGAATGGAAGACTGAACAGGAGCATATTTTAAAAGAAAAGGTATTTTTAATGTATAATCTATATTGACATTAAAAGCTCAGACAATTTTAATCATTTTAATAAGAAATTTATTTTGTACTTATAAAAATGTAACAATAATAATAATCTGCATTATTGTATTTCACTTTAATAACAGGTTATCTCAAATATTTTCAGGTAATCAATTTATATGTATGTCATTTTCCAAAAACAATACTACCATTTTAAATCTTTGTAATTATGTTAATTATTATCTGAGAACATTGTACAGTACATTACAACATTGGAAAACTGCCAGTTTCATATTTGCCCATTACAGTTTCTCAGTGCATGCACGTTGTGTCACATGGCATGCATATGACTGATATTCAAATTCTTCCTACACTTGCTACAGCGTATCTGTTGTCATTTCTCCCACAACAGCTACAATTCTACAGTTTCTGCAGCTCCTGCAGATCACTCATGTTGCACAATGATGAGTGATTCTGACTTTAATAGATTGCCTTCACAAACACAAAAAGACTTCCCTGTTATGAAATCACTATTTTTATTTGTGACTCTTCCTAGAGATGGTAGACAACAAGATGTTTGAATGCAGATGGAAGATGAAAATTGGACAGTACTCTCTTATTAGTGTATGTTGCATACTTCTTGGATAATAATTAACATAATTACAATAATTCAAAATGGTAGCATTAATTTTGGAAGACCCATGGTATATTTTTGATAGAAAGGGAATGTACAACAATTTTAAAGGTGTTTTATGTTTGTGTATCATTCCCATTCACTTATAATAAATGTGATTTTTTGATAGTAAAAATATTAAGTCATTTGAAATCTACACCTTTTCAGAATGTATTTTTTGTAGTTCACTTGCTTTTATTTATAATATAGATCTATTTACTTTTTTTTATATTTATATTTCATTCTGTTATGTAATGAATTTTAATTAAACATTATTTTTAGTTGAAACAAAAAGAAAAAGAACATATGGAAACATTAATATTAGAGTGGAAGAAACGTGACATGGAAAGAGAATTATTAATGCAACGTAAAGTAAGTGACAAAATTGTATTTTTTGACTTATCATATTTTCATTCAGAGAGTCTGCAGTTTACCTGTGTTCGAAAGGCACTTTGAAAGGGATTGTGGGTTCTGCTGTTTGACAGTTATATGCCAAGTTCAAGAAAACAATATCTTTCCTTTAGTTCTCTCTGTTTTTTTCTTTATGTTTAATCTATGCTTTAATTGATATTAGAAGACATTCCTGTTTGAATTTATATCTTGAAAGCTGATAAATTTCCAGTAATTATCCCCATCTACATAATGATATTATTTTATAGAACTCTGATGGTTAGCATATGTTATTGGGTTATCATCATCCTGATATGCTATAAACTTGTTGCTTCTTTCATTGTTACAAAGTGAATTTAGGTGAATAAAAATAATTATTTACATTTAAAACAATAGCTCTAGCTTAACTGTGCAATGTTTAATTTTATTTACATACAGCAGCATTGCTTTCTGGTATTTTTTTACCAAAATCAAAACTATAAACATCTTTACAATTTTGATTTATTTGCTGAATGTTTAAAAATCTATTTTAGTAACATTTTTGTATAATCTACAATATTATTAAATATTTTCAAATTCAGTGAATCCTGGCACCATATTGTCAACCATTAAGGCCAGCACAAAGTAGACAGTGCCATTCCTTTTGACATGATGGCAAAGGCAAATTTTATGGTCACATGACTAGTTTGCTTTGACTATCAGGCAAATTCAGCACTTATGCTATCATTCATGACATAGTTCTACAGAACCAATTAGCATTTTGTCTACCCCTCTACAAACTATTGCTTGGTAGTTTGTTTTGTATAGGGTTGGCAACTAAGTGATTGCGGATTTTAAATAAGAATGAAAATTCAAAATTTTTGTTTAAAAATATAACTTTATTCAATTAGGTATCGTCCATTTTTGTATTTGACCTCTTGCCATCTTTCAGGCAGTGTCATAATTCCATGTTCATAAAACTTCTGATTTTTGCCAGCAAAAAACTGAATTAAATGTGTTTTTTCATCATCAGCGTCATTAAAAATTTTACCATTTAAGGAGTTCTGCTTGGAACGAAATAAATGTAATCTGAAGGTGCAGGTCAGGGCTATATGGTGGATGTGACAACACATCCCAACCTAGCTCCAATAATTTTTGGCAAGTGACCAAAGATGTGTGGGGCTTTGCATTATCATACTGGAAAACAACATCCTTACGATTTGCTAATTCTGACCGCTTTTCTTGAACTGCATCGCTTAGTTTGGCGAGTTGTTGAACGTACACATTTGAATTAATCGTTTGGTTTCTTGGTAAAAGTTCAAAGTACAGAATTCCTTTATAATCCCACCAAACTGACAGCATAATCTTTTTTTTTTTTGTGAATCTCAGCTTTTGGTGTCATCTGGGCTGGTTCATCTCACATCACCCATGATCTTTTCTGATTAACGTTGCTATAAACTATCCACTTTTCATTGCCAGTAATCAGTCGTTTCAGAAATGGATCAATCTCGTTGCATTTCAGAAGTGAATCGCAGATGCTAATGCATTGCGTCAAATGAATTTCCTTAAGCTGATGAGGGACCCATAAATTCAGTTTCTTGACATAGCCAAGCTGTTTTATTTTTTTTGAATGCATGTATGTGATACGTTGAGTTGAGTCGAAGAGTAAGCAGGCTGTCTGGTGACTTAGCCCTTGTGAAGTGGAAGTAGAAGATTGGGGTAGGTTGTGTTGGTTAGTGAAGGAAGGGTGATAGCTGATAGGAAAGGTGTGAAGGGAAGATAGTAGGATGGGGTCCCATTGGCACCTTGCGTCGGCATTTATTGAGAGGACAAGACAATATACATTATGCAAGTACAATATACAATATACATAACAGAGTCCAATCCGGGTGGGTGGTATAAGCTCGGGATTCATAGAATCACCTGGTTGCTACATAGGATAATCCGGTTTTACATACCCGTACAATGCGATAGACAAGATTATATACAAACAGAATCCAATTTGGACAGTTGACGTGTGCGCGGTATACAAAGCAGACCGTTTTACATATGCATATGATGAGAGAGACCAGTACAGCAGAGGCCGCCTTAAGCGATTAGGGGCCAAGAGCCAAATACCGAGAACACTAAGCATACAACAAATAGCAGAGCAGTGCATGTTATCAGAAGAAGAGATGCACCACATGACATCAAGACACTCTGTTGTTTTGAAAGATTTCACAGTCCAAGGCAAATTTTTCCAGTTGGTGGAAGTTCTTCTTCGTGGCGCAGAAAAAGTCCCATGGTGGGGGCCAACTCTTGCCGTTGGAGACACAGTAGTTTTTTAGTATTTGTCTTTGGCTTGTATACTTAGTGCAACTCAGTATGATGTGGTTGATGTTCCCGATCGACATGCCATCACAGTCACAGTAGCTGTCCGCTTTCTTTTTTATACGAGCCAAGTAGCTAGGAAGGTTCCCATGGCTGGTCAGGAGCTGCGTGAGACCATAGGAAGGTGAGAAGTAATTCATAGTGATCCGGTTTGCAATGGAGGGTAGAAATTGGTAGGTAATCCTGCTTGTGCTAGAGTTGGTCCATTCTTGTTGCCAATGATCCATGATTTTGTTATTGATGTACCTGTGGATGTGGCTTAGAGGGAGTTTGCTGAAGGTAGTCGACAGTACCGCGTTGCCTGCCGCCCTTTTAGCAAGCTCGTCCGCTCATTCATTACCTGGCTGGCCAGAATGCCCGGGGGTCCAGCTGAAGTTGGTGGGCCTGAGTTTGTTTAAATGTCTCGCTAGGTGCTGGATTTTAATCCCTGTTTCAGTCTGCTTCTTGCCCCCTTGTATACTCCTTAGTACGTAGCGGCTGTCCGTAATGAAGTTTATCATGCCATTCGTTTTTTTGATATTTCTGTTGACGTAGGAGAGGGCCCTTTCCATTGCCCAGAGCTCGGCCTGATTGCTTGAGCAGAAATCAGCCAATCTATAATATTCCTCGTGTGCAGTGGAATTTAGACGGTTATTATAAACCACAAAGGCCGCCCCTGTACCCTTATCGCTGCTGGTCCCATCTGTGTAAACATGCCAGTTGTAGTTGGAGTGGTCAGTTTCATTAATGTGCATGAGTATGGCGTCCATCTCTGCTGGGTGGTTATGAATGGCAGTACCGGTTTTGTAGTAGTCCACACCGTAGGCCTTAATTTGGTCCATTATATCAGCGTCCTCTTGTGAGGAGGTGTTTCTGTAGGTAATTATTTGGTTGTCTTCCTCGTTGAGGCGACTATTTTCCTTCTTAAGTGTCCTGGACCAGACCATACTGTTGATTTTTATATGAATTGGTTCAATATTTGCGATGGCGAGGAGGGCATCTGTAGGTGCTGTGCAGTAGGCTCGGCAAATTCTGATGGCGAACGATCTTTGGACCGAGAATAGTTTCCTTTTATTGTGCACGATGTTGGCTCTGTCGCCCCAGATTTGAGCAGCGTACAGGAGCGCCGGCTCAATTGCTCCTTTATATATTAGTCTGCAGTTTTTCGTGCTGATCCCCCAAGAGTTTCTGGCGATGTGATATAGCATGTTTGCTCTCCGATTTACCTTTTTACAGAGCTCCTCAATATGGGTCTTGTAGTTCAGAGTAGGGTCGAGTAGTATTCCCAAGTATTTTAAGTGTGTAGTTATCTTGATTTTTTTGATTATTGATGTAAAGGCTGAGCGGCCTTTGTAGTTGTTTCTTGTTTGATTTTTTAGTGCAAACCAAGGCTTCGCATTTCTGGTAGTTAATCGGTAATTTGTTTTCCTTACTCCAACGGTTTAAGATTTCGAGGGTGTCATTTCCAGTCTTCTGGAGGACATCACAGTTCTGGTGCCTCACCATCAATATCGTGTCATTTGCGAAGCCTTGGATTTGAGCATCAGTTGTTTTTGGGATGTTATTCAGAAGGTCGTTATAGACAAGGTTCCAGAGGCCGGGTCCACAGCGAGATCCCTGGGGGAAACCCCTGTCTACCTCTTTGATGATGTTTATATTATTATGGAAAAAGCCGGCTTTTCTCCTCGTCAAATAGTTCTTTGTTAGATTGTACACATTCCTGGGACAGTGCACTTTTTTTAGGTTCTTTAGGATGGCAGGCACCATAGGTGGTCAAAGGCTTTTCTATAGTCAATACTGACCAAGAGAGCATGTTTATTCTTATCCCAAGCTTCTTTTATAAATTCAGTAACTTTTTCGATTGCATCGATTGTGGATCTTCCCGGCCTGAACCCATACTGCCCATCATTTATATGACCCTTGCTTATTAGGTGCCAGTTAATCCTTCCTACGATGAGGCCGTCCAGCACCTTACCCAAAACCGGAAGGAGGCTTATTGGTCTGTAGTCTTTTTCCGCTGTAGGATTGACCGTCTTAGGAATGAATTTAATGCATACTAACTTCCAGGTATCCGGGAAGTAGCCTTGATGGAGGCAATCGTTATAGAGGACAATGAAGGCGATGGGGATCGCCTTGAAGGCCTTCTTAACCATCTCTGCTGTTATCTTGTCATGCCCTGGCGCCTTTTTATTTGCCAGAGTATTGATAGCTTGGCGGACCTCCCCAAAAGAGAATCATCTGTCATCTTCCCCATCTGCCTCCTCTAATATTTCAGAGCGAATACGCCTGTGGCTGCGTTCATCCTTTATCGGATCTTCGGCCGGAAAATGGAAGTCAAGGAGTTTTGTTATGTTCCTACTTATGTCATAATTACTACTGTTTGTGTTACCATGGAATGTGAAGATATTCGGAATTGCTGCCCCTTTCTTTTGCTTAAATGTAATCCTATATGGTTTACCCCATGGGTCGATAGTTGGGTCTCCACAGAACTTGCGCCAGGCGTTTGACCTGGTTTTATTTATGTTATTTTTATATGCTTTTAAGGCCTCCGTGTATTCCTTCCCTCTTTGTTCCTTTCGTGCACCATTGCTTTCCCTAAGCCACTTCTTCCTGAGTTTCCTCACTCTCTTTTTTTCGTTTTCAAGGTTCTTGTC